AAACAGAGGCCGGTGGGGCAAATAGAGGCCAGTGGGGGAACCCAGGTTTGAAAAATGGGAAAGCATAGCTCCTCGTGCAATAACCATGCCTCTCTGGTGGCCCCTGCTCCCACTTCCGGCAGCCTGCTGTGTTTGTTTGCTAGTGTGGCATTCTAGAAAGGAACTTCATTTCAGTTGAAAGTTCTGTGGATTCATTTGAAGCTAATATCTGACTTTGTTTTAATACACTGGAAAAAGAACACGTAATCCCAACTTTTCCAACAGCAGAGCAGGAGACTTCAATAACAAAGCTGTATTGCACTTGGCAAACAGGGAAAGCTGCCCTTTTTTCCCAAGGGTCCTTGTTTATTGTTCTGTTTCTAAGAATATGCAGAAGCGTCATCTCCAGGGCAGTAGGAACTGTTCCAACAAGAATTTGAAAAATGGCATTCAAAACATTTTGCCAATAATTAGGCAAATGTGAGCCGGTCCCCAACATGCAAATCATGGTACCTGACATCAGGAACGGTACAGCAACTTGTCTCTGACAAATATGCCAACATTCACAGGTTTTAGTAAAATGAAGTACAAGATCCTAAAGAAGATAATGCCAGTTTTAACCCCAAAGCGCCTGGTCTGCATTAAGAACTTACTCAACCCCCTTGCTAGCTCTCAGTGAAAACCTGTCTCCTTTGAATCTTGTCTTAATATGATTCATTAAGGGCGAGCCACCATTGGTGACCAGGAGATGTTTTTAATTACTGTGTTCCTGTTCACTTCTGTACGGTCTTGTCGTTATCATTCTAGCAGATACTTACAAATATGACTTCTATGGGGGTTCCCTATGATCTCCACAAGGACTGCAGCTACTAATGAGAGCCAGGCAGGCCCCCAGCCAAGGGGGCTGCTGATTATCAAGCCAAGAACCATCCAGACTCCGAAACTAATGAGCTGGCAGAGAGACCAGAACAGACTAAGACTGTGGCGCACAGCATCGGGGAGAAAGGCCACCAAGACAACCTTAGGAGTGAGACAGAGAGGAGAGATAAACTTTCATTCTATCTGAGCATTTGCAGTTGCTGACAGACAGGGCAGCTGTGTTGGTGGGAGCTGAGGGAGTTATTTATTTGGAGGTCTTGGAGATAGAGCTGCAGCCCATCGGGGGCAGAACATGTGGGCCACAAAAGACTAGATTTATTCCCTGGAGGCTTTGCTTACTCAGGGAGCCAACATTTGAAAATTAGCTCTGCCCTGCTGGCGTGGCTTAGTGGTTGAGCGTTGACCTATGAAGCAGAAGGTAACGGTTCAATGCCTGGTTTGTGGGCTTGATCCCCAGTAGGGGGCGTGCAGGAGGCAACGATCAATGTTTCTCTCACAAGGATGTTTCCCCCTCTCTCCCTTCCTCCCTCTATAAAAACCAATAAAAAAACCTGTCCTCAGGTGAGGATTAAAAAAAAATTAATGAAGAGATCAGCCATAGACTGTCAGATATCTGATAAAGGTCTTGCATTCAGGAACTATATTTTTAAAGGACTCTTAAAACACAATCATAAGAAGACAACCCAATTTATAGAAATGGGTAAACAAATTTGTATAGTCATTTCATCAAAGAAGATATACAAATGGCTAATAAGTATATGAAAAGGTATTCAACATCATTAGTCATTAGGGAAATGCCAATCAAACCTACAATGAGATATCACTTCACACCCACTAAGATGGGTAGAGTCAAAAAGACAGATAATAGTAAGTGTTGATGAGAATGTGGGGCAAGCGGGACTCTCATACACCGCTGGTGGGAATGCCAAGTGGCACATCCACTCTGGAAAACAAGTTGGCAGGTGTTTCTTTAAGTTAAACATAAAGTTACCATATGACCAGCAATTCCACTCTTAGGTATATACCCAAGAGAAATGAAACATATATCCACACAAAGACTTGTACATGAATGTTCACAGCAGCATTATCCATATTAGCCAAAAAGTAGAAGTAACCCAAATGCCCATCAACAGATGAATAGATAAATAAAATGTAGTCTCTCCATACCATTGAATATTATTCAGCCACAAAAAGGAACAAAACACTGATCCATGTCGCAACGTGGATGACACTTGAAAACATTATGCCAAGTAAAAGTACACAGACACAAAGACCATCTACTGTACAATTCCATTTCCATGGCCCATCCAGAAAAGGCAAATCTAGAGAAATGAAGGGACTAATGGTTGGATTGTGGTAATGGTTGGACAAATTAGCAAATTTACTACAAATCTTTGAACTGTATGCTTAAAACAGGTGGATTTTATAGCATGCAAATCATAATTCAATAAAGCTGTTTTAATAAAAACTAAAAATCTTCTGTACATGTATCTCCATCTCAAATGCTTTTTCTAGGAAACCCAATCGAAGACAACACACATTTTAACAGAAATGCCTATTACATTTTATCTCTAGCCAAATTTGAGAAAATAGTAGTTTCACAATGAAAAAGCCCAACGTATGCTCAAGCACAGAGATCACACACACACACACACACACACACACACACACACACACACAAACACACTTTCAAGCTCCCTTCCTTCATACTACAGCCCCCGTCACCATCACCTTTGCTGGCACGGGTTCCCAACACTGGAATTCCTTTCCACGAAGAAAATGATTCCATCTCAGCCCACATGAAGGAGAGATACAAAGGCACATCCTACCATTCCTCATCATTTTAAATTACGAACTCCTATTTTAATAGATGCTTCTGTTCCATGCTATTTGTCATAATTCTTTGGCCTGAAAAGCCCAGATACCTTGAGGTGTAAACACTGGTAGAATAAATTGCCTGTGTTTGGTGGGGAGCGAGGGTCAACGGGTTGGCAGGAATGAGCCCATGAGACAGACTAGGAAACAGAGAAGCGAAGGGAAAAAAAAGACGAGTTGATAAATAAGGACTCTGAGTTCATCCCACAAGGCTGGCTGCTCATTGCTCAATGTTGCGAGACACTGACTTCTTAGAGGTTTGCAGTAACAGCTCGCTCGAGCTGGAAATTGCTGTGAATGCGCGTTCTACCTGAGGCTGAGCTTGTAAAAAGAGTTCTCCGGCATCTCTCCTTGCTGACAGGTCTGGGACACCAGGTGTTCCTTTGGAGGCAGCTGAGTCTGAGCCCCAGCAACCTTGCCCCGAAGCTTTTGACCACTAGACTGATCATCAATGAACTGTCCCATCTCACTCCCCATCTCTCCTACCTCTGGCTTTGACAGTCCAGGTCCCCGCCACAGTACTATACCTTTCCCACTGCTTGGGATGCCATGCCCTCACTCATTCATTCCTCAAACATTTACTGAGCATGCATCAATGGAACTACCTCTGGGTTAAGTTCTGGTTAAAACAAGGTCACCGATGTCAAAAGTAGATATTCTTTGTGCTGTGATGGGTGTGTACACAGGAAATATTGGGGACAGAGAGGTGACTTTGGGCAAATCCACTTAGAAGGAGATGTCTGGGGAGGCTTACAAGAAGAGAGGATGCTTACACGGTCTCTTCTTGCAAGCCTGGTATTGGATTTCATCCGAAGGAGAGAGCGTCCATTGAAGCAAAATCCCAGAGCAGTGCTGTCCGTTAGGAACTGTCTGCAATAATGCAAATGCTCTGTATCTGCACCAGAACAGTAGTCACTCGCTAAGAAGCACTTGAAATGTGGCCAGAGCAACTGAGAAATGAAATTTTTAATTTTATTTCATTTTGATTCATTTTCACTTAAATTTAAATATGCACATGTGGCTAGTAGTGACCAGTGTGGATAGCACAGCTCCAAAGGCACAACACAGCCTGCCAGTCGTCAAACCAGGCAGATGTTTGCTATGCCCAGGAGCAGCCCTAAGACAGCCAGAGAAAAAGAGGCCGGCGCATGGAGGGGCTGCAGGCATGTCTGAGTAACGCGCCCTGACAGCAATACATAGACGCTCCCCCAGGAAGTAACTCCTCTCGTCTCTGTCCCTCCACATCTTGGATTCCAAGAGTGACAAACTCAAATGCTTACAGTTGCCAGAGGAGATGAGGTGAGGAAGGGCATACACGCTCACGGTGGAAATCCTGGCACTGTGACCAGGTGGACAGAGGGCAAGTCCCATCAAAAGGGGGCAGCCGCTACTCAGCATTGCTGTGCTCTAGTTGTCTCCAATGCAGGCCCAAAATGGCCTGATCGCCAAATGATTCAAGAGAAGCCAAACATCATGACTTAGGCCAGTGAGGCGAACCTTTTGAGCTCGGCGTGTCAGCATTTTGAAAAACCCTAACTTAACTCTGGTGCCGTGTCACATATAGAAACTTTTTGATCTTTGCAACCATAGTAAAACAAAGACTTATATTTTTGATATTTATTTCATATATTTAAATGCCATTTAACAAAGAAAAATCAACCAAAAAAATGAGTTTGCGTGTCACCTCTGACACGCGTGTCATAAGTTCGCCATCACTGACTTAGGCTGTGAAACAGTTCAGGGTCTAAATGTTGGCTGCATTTTTTGTACCACTTATTATGCTATATTAGAGGCCCAATGCACGAAATTCGTGCAAGAGTAGGCTTTCCTTCCCCTGGCTGCCAGCACCGGCTTCCCTCTGGCACCCGGGGCCCGGGCTTCCCTTGCAGCCCTGGCTTCGTCCAGAAGGTCGTCCAGAAGGATGTCTGGTCTAATTAGCATATTACACTTTTATTATTATAGATAGTGTGTCCCTGTGTTTATGATGCCCACCTCCACCCACTAGGCTCACTCTTCCTCAAGGCCCAAAAGGGTCCTTAAGGGACCAAATCTTATTCATCCATCATTCCCAGAACCTAATATACCTGTAAATTAATCTTTGTTTTGTAGATTTTTATCAAATGAATGAATAAATGAATGGCCTCATTCATTCATGAAATTATTCTGCCAGCCAAGACAGTGGCTCCAAGAGATAGCAGCAAAGGAGTTAAAAGGCAGGAAATGAACTCGGCTTTGGAATAAAGCCCCATTAATTGCCATCTTACCAGAAATCCTCTTCCCTGCAAATCCGCAGGCTGTAAATTAAGATCTGAATTGTTGTTTTGAGCGCAGCTTTCTCCAAACCGCAGATTTGCAAACACTTCTCTTCCCGGTAGCTCGAGGCCTCGCAACAGTCTTGTGCTATTAAATCTTGCTGAAAAGTGGGCTGAGACCACTAGGTCTCCTGTGAAAATTACCAGACTTGTGGATGGCTGGTGTGGGAGTTAGCAAGACGCCTCTGCCCCTGTCACCAGGGAGAGCCCAGCCACGAAGAGGCACCTGGGGGAAGGAGAGTCTCTGGCCTCAGGATGACCTGCAGAGCTGGGGGAGCAGAGGAGAGGACGGGAGTCAGCAGGTGGCCTCCCAACGTGGAGAATCCAGGCCCACAGTGTCCCTGCCTGTTCCGCTCCACATTCCTCCAGCCGCTTAGGAGAAGTCTTTCCAACTCCGTGCTCCAGTGGCTCCAAGTGGTGGCTGGGACTAAATGTGCTCCTCCCCAAAGCCAGGTGGATCTTCATGCAGTGATTTCAAACTCATGGCAGATGAGAGAGGCCTGAGCCAACAAGATGCGTAATGCAACTAAGCTGTGTAGAAATGCCTGCTCCTGGTAGGCTGGGGCCCGCCCTTCCTGTAGAAGCACAAGACCACATCCTATGGTTTTCCCTTTGGGTCCATTTTGGAGAGATTCCCCAATTCATCCTTGTAGAATCAAGAGTGAAAGGCACCAAGCGGACCCCACTCGCCGTACAGATGAGGAAACTGAGGCTCACGTTGCTGATACCCTGTCTGCAAGGGCATGCCTCCAGTCTCATGAGTGCAGCCCAGCACTCTCTCTCATGGAACCACAGTACCCCGTCAATCCATATATCTGCACACACCACAGTGTCCTTTCTGTGTCACTGATGACAAAGGCCATTTTTCACAAGAGGCTATAATCTGCTAAAATCTTCTCCTGCATTCCAGAGTAAAAGCTCCCATATTTCACAGAGCAGGTTAATCACAAATATCAAGCGATGAGGCCAGAAGAAGGGCTGGGAAGAGAAGGAACCCTCAGGTCCGGGGAAATTTCTACAGTGGGGCCTGTTTTGCTTCCTGTGCTCATCCTATATATTAAAGAGCTAATATGCAAATGGTCGCCATGCCCTGGCACCTGGACCAGGGGACCTGAGGCCACACACCCCCACCCTGCAGGGCTTGATGGGGGTGGGGCCCGCCATGTCTGGGTCTCACACGATTTCAAGACATGCAGGGGTGGGCGGGAACTTGACTGTAAGTCCTGTGGCATGCCCCAGACTCTGACAGGAGGGAGATTTTCATATACATTTTACTAATTTTCTTTCACCTCTGACACTTCTATTATAAAGGGCAAATATCAATATTAAAATATTTCCTCTAATTAATTCCCTTTTAAGGTGCACGAATTCCATGCACTGGGCCACTGGTGTAAATATATAAAAAAGGCTAATATGCTAAGTGTCCCTCCTACCCCTAAACTGGTCACTATGATGAGCACTGACCACCAGGGGGCAAACACTCAACGCAGGAGCTGCCGAGCTGCAATGACTTGGCAGCGGTGGTTCTTGGGCGACACACCCTGAAACCAGAGAGGAGGGAGCCCAATTCCTCGCGGGGCCACACGATTCCACCTTCGGCCGTGGGTTATGTTGTTGCTGGGGCACTGTCGGTCCTGAACCTGGTTTACTGCACACTTGCATTTGCGTTCCACACCCTGTACGACAGCAACTTTGCAGAGCGCCCTCTCGCACTCCGGGACCCCTCGGGGGATGTTGGAGAGCCGGTTTTGGCCCGATCCCCCAAGGCCAGGACAAGGGACCCCACCTGCCAGAGGGACCCCGCTCACTCCGAAGATGCTGGGGAGGCACCATGGGAGGTTGGCTCCAGGGCGTGTCCGGCCCATCTTGCCCAGTCCTGCCCCACCGGCCGCCTTCTAATTAATTTCCTTTCAATGTGCATGAATCCATGCACTGGGTCACTAGTATAACAATAAAAACCTCCCAGAGGCTGGTAACATTTAGCAAAACTCTTTTCAATACCTGGATACAAAAGAATATTCTCTTCGAACCCATAGACAATTTATTTCGGAAAGGTAATTGATGAGTTATTTACATTAGTCTCCAGTGTCCAGCCACCATCATTGAGATGAAGTGCCCGGGACAGAGTGGGATCCCATAATTACTCTCGCATGTGTTGCATGTTGCAGGGAAAGAAAACATAATGCAAAGTGCTTATATATTTCAGCGGCATAATAGCTTGATGAAGATTTCTAAATTTTTCAAAATGTCATTTCTTTCCAAAAGATGGATTATTTCTGCTGGGGTTTAGTCTACCTAATTATTCCTGCCTTGATTACTTAACTACTCCAGATATTTCATCCCTCCACGCTCTTATCATGTTCCGCATGTTAGAAGAACCGAGGCCGCATATTAGCACAAAGTAGACAATCCTGTTTCCTGGCAGTTATTGTGGGAACGAGGGTTACAGAAAAGAGCACTCAGAAGCTCCGCCGCGAAGCCACAGCCGCAACCAGAACCTTCTGGCATCTTCTAGGCCACGTCTCCCCACCCCTCCCAGGAGTCAGAGCAAGTTCATTCCTTTACTCTCCCCCTCTCTGCCCCTTGCATCCCATGGGCCTTGGCTATGGGCTCTGCGTTTCTTTCTCCAACGTCAGCCTTGGAGGACCTCCTAAGGCAGAGACAGACACGCCTCACCCCCAGAGTATTCGGCTGGGCAAGGCTTGGGTGGGGTTAAGTAGGGGTGAGTGCAGCCCCCCTCCCTCCTCCCTTCCCCATGCTGATGCTGCTGGTCCTGGGACCCCACTTTATGACAATGATTTTCTTTCTTTTAAAAAAAAATACAAATTTAATGCTGTGGCTAGTGTCTATATTAGGTTGGAAATCGGGACCCAATGGCATTTACTTATTTTGATTTTATAAATAACTGGGCAATCAGCTCTGGGTTCAATGAGCAAAATAACTAGGCAAAAGGTTAAGAGCCTCAAAGTGGGAAGGAGGGGGAGGGAGGAAGGGAGGGGGAGGGAGGAAGAGAGGGAGGAAGGAAGGAAGGAAGGAAGGAAGGAAGGAAGGAAGGAAGGAAGGAAGGAAGGAAGGAAGGAAGGAAGGAAGGAAGGAAGACAAACATGGTTGGAAAGGGCACCTTCGAGATCATATCTATGCTGTGATTCTAATCTATGCTCCGAAGAAGCTAAATCTATGCTCGGAAGAATGCGGGAGTGGACACAGCTGCACTACACGGAACATGGCTTCTCCGTGTTTTCCGATGACACGGGGACGACGGGCGACCGGCAAGCTCTGAGCCTGGTGCCTGCCCCGGGCGCACCTGTCGCGCCGACGGAAGGAGGCCCGCAGGCCCTCGCCCTTTGGCTGCTCCCGCCGCCTGGAAAAAAGCCAGACCCCGGTCCCTCTGAAAGACGGTTCCCTGGAGCAATCCTGGCTCGCTCGGTTTAATTGTTCTCTCTCTCTCTCTCTCTCTCTCCCTCCCCCCCCCCCCCCCCCCTTGCTCAGCGGCCCGGAGAGATGGGAGGAGCGGGTTTCTGGTTCCCGGGTATAAAGCAGCATCTGTCGGGAGCCGCTGAATTGCGGCGGCGCCGGGCGGCGGTTCGCACCTGTGATGCAGGGGCAGGAGGGGAGGCGAGGGGGAGGGGATGAATGCAGCCCCTGCCCCCCCCCCCCAGTAGTGGGAAAGCCCCTGAGACCTGGCTACTCAGCAGGAGGCCCAGGGGCCCGCACCCCTCGGAGCTGCTTAGAAATGCAAACCTGGGGCCCCACCCAGCCGTCCCGAATCACCACCTGCGTTTAATGAGATCGCGGGGCTCCCTGCTCCGGTTACAAAGTGAGACGCGCGACCCGGGCGTTCGGGCACGGAAAGGTTGAGAGTTCCTGCTCTCTGTCCAGGAAAGGGAGAGGAGGGGGGAAGTTCAGTCCCCAGTTTGGAAAAGGGGAGCAGAGTGTCCACCCTGAGGTCTGCCCGCTGCAGCGGAGGACGGAGAAATTAACATGTGGCGCGGCCTCCGGGGGAAGGTTAGTTGGGGGGGTCGCTGCATTGGTCTGGGGTGTAGAGGGGAAGAGAGGAGATCGGGTGAGTGGGTGCCACCCACACTCCCCGGCGCCTGGGGCGTGATGCTGGAACTCCTACCCCCGCCTGAGAGGAGGCGCTTTAGCACAAAGGACGTGAGAACACGCGGCTGGCGCTGAGGGCTGGCGCGGCGCCGAGGGAGACACCTGGGAGTTTCTTAATGAGCGGGCTGCCACGTGGTGACTCACTCACATTTTAACGCGGAAGGAAGGGAAAGCACGCGGTCGGTCACGGAAAGCGCGCCCAGCATCGCGGCATCGTCCCCAGGAGGACACGGGGCCGGGAGGGCCAGTGGAGCCCGCGGGGCCAGGGTCACACCATCCTCTCCTGGCCCCGCAGCAGTTCATGGCAAGAACCAGCCTCCTCTGTTTTCTGCGCTCCTGGAGGGAGGAGAGTGACTGGGCCTGTTAAAAAGAGGAAGTAATCCTAAAAGAAATGACTTGGATTCCGCCTGAGGGCAGAGGCGTGCACACAAGCCTTCCTCCTCCCCCATCTGACCCTCTCTTGCCCTCACCTGTTGTCACCCTGCTGTAAGGAGGTGGCAGCGGTGAAGGGAGGGACGCTTGAATTAAATCTCATAAAATCCAAAGTAAGCGATACACTCTGCACTCCCCTCTGGGCCCCTGCCACAGTGTTCTGTGTGCGGCAGGTGGACCAACGGAAGACACACACCCATCAAATTCCTGGTTGCCCCAGAGGTGCTCGGGGAGTTAAAAGACTGGATAATCCACTTGGGCCCAATCATGTTTCAATAGACGGTTACACAGAGTGACTGTGCCAATGGCATTTACTTAATGGTTTACATGGCCCCCTCATCTTCCATGAAGCTTTCGAGGTGATTTGCAGAAATTGTAGTAAATTAATTTCAATTTGAAAACGAAAAAATATAAAAATCAGGTTCCGTTCCAGTATAAATTAGGATTGGAGGTCAAGATTGGGGTAGATGGTGACACTTAATAAGAAAAATATAAAGTACTGTCCTCACACTAGAAAGCAGAAGCCCAGATACAGGGTGTGAGGAATGTAGCTTAGCAACATCCAGATTTTTAAAAGAACAAACCTGTAATGGACAGTAAGCTCAGCATGAGCAAAGAGTGGAATATGATGGCTGGAAAAAGACAAGGGGTGTTGGGTCAGCCAACCAACACTGTCTACCGCAGGTGGGTTTCAAGTTCAGGCTTGGAGATCAGAAATCCAGCCGAGGGCTAGGTTTGCTGGGCCCAGAGAGGCCGTAGATGAGTTCAGTCCTGGGCGTGTTCAGTGGAAAGGCCTGTGAAGTATCTGAAAGCAGAGATGTCAAGTGGAGAAGTCAGATGGGAGGCTTTGGATTGCAACTGAGAGGTTTGTGCTGCAGACCAGGGGGTGCGAGGGTCCTCAGGAAGTGCCGAGTGAGAGGCCTAGAGAGGCTGGAGATGGGTATGAGCATTGAGGCATGAAGTTGAAAGAAACAAAGGAGTCTGCAAAGTGTGCTAGCACAGTGGCTCTCAGCCTTCTGGCCCTTTAAATACAGTTCCTCATGTTGTGACCCAACCATAACGTTATTTTCACTGCTACTTCATAACTGTCATGTTGCTACTGTTATGAATCGTCATGTAAATATCTGATATGCAGGATGGGTTTAGGCGACCCCTGTGAAAGGGTCATTCCACCGCCAAAGGGGTCGCCACCCACAGGTTGAGAACCGCTGTGCTGGCGAGACAAGCCGGAAACCAGGAGAGAATGTCCACATAGGCCAGTGGTCGGCAAACTGCAGCTCCACAAAATACCACGTGCGGGTGCGCATGTACAGTGCGATTGAAATTTCGTGGCCCATGCACAGAAGTCAGTATTTTGTGGAAGAGCCACACTCAAGGGGCCAAAGAGCCGCATGTGGCTCACGAGCCGCAGTTTGCAGACCACTGACATAGGCTGCGGGAAGAGACAGGGTTTTCTTCTTTCTCAAGGCTGAATAATATTCCGCCGCAGGGTGGCCCAGGCAGACATCGTTAAACAACCTGTAACCCACATTACAGGTGCCCATCGATGGACATTTAGTTAGTTTCCATATCTTGGCTATCTAGCTATAAGAATAAAAATGTAATATGCAAATCAACCGAACGGCCGAACAGTGGAATGACCATCTGGAAATCTTTCCGGACAACCTTCCGGACGAAGCCGGGGCTGCGAGGGCCTACTCTTGCACGAATTTTGTGTATAGGACCTCTAGTGGCAGATAATGCTGCTATGAACATGGGATGCAGGTATCTCTTAAGCAGTGATTTCACCTCCTTTGGATATATACTCAGAGTGGAATTGCTGGATCAGTGACTGCGCCAATTTCCTGCCCCCAGGGCAGTCCTTTTTGGCGACACCCAGCACTGCCAATCTACACAGGCTAATGTCCATGGGGGCGGGGGTGGGGGGGGAGGGCTGGGCCTGTCAGCCAGCGCAAATTCCCAGCCCTCCCAGTTCAGAGCCATCCTCAGAGCCAGTAAAGGTACATTTGTTGAGGTAGTGATGGTGTGCCAGACTCACCAAGACAGCCGGAACTGGGCCTGCGTGACCCTCTGGAAGCTTCTTAACCTCTGGCTCTTTCCTCACCTGCAAAATTGCAGCTAACAATGCTTTCTTTCACAAAGTTGTCACGAGGGTCAAATACGATACTGCAGAGGAAAATGCTTAGCTTGGTGCCTGCCTTGAAGCAGAGATTTAGTAAATATCAGTTCGAACTGAATAAGAGTCTGAAATTGTTCACCAGGTCCAAGCGTAGGACCGCACCCTCCACCCTGACCTGACCACCTTCCTCCAGGTTATGTCAACACCTTCCTCAACACCCCTGAATGTCAAGGAAAATGTCACGGGCGCTGTCAGCGCCTCGCCTGGATCCCCTCAGCCTAGCCCGGAGGTCACACGCCAGCTGCATTTCCTCTCCCTGCCGGAGGGCACTCTGCAACGGCCATCAGACGGTGAGGGCCAGGAGGGGGTGGAGAAAGGCCCAGCTTCCTCACCTCCCAATGGGCCAGCTTTCAGCCATATCCCAGCCCGCCTATGAGAAGGGCCGTGTGGGACAGAGCCCTGGTGTCCACAGCCCTTCCTTGGCCTGCCTTCCCGTCTCACTTCCTCTCACTGTGCTTCTTGGGCTCACCTCCCACGTAAACTGCTCGCACTGAAACCCTCCCCTCAGGTCCGCTTTTAGGGCCACATACACTCAGCCTAAGAGCAACAGGTGGAGGTAAAGCACACTGAGCTTGGCTAGGTCCACGCGGGGCACCCCCTGCCCGGGGATTAGAGCATTCGGCCTCCAGGTGTCTGAGGCAGCTTGTCAGTTCTCTCATCCCTAAGGCTGCTTGTGAGGATGGAGTCATCTGGCACTAAAAGCGTCCTCCTTCCCAGCCCACTGGGGTTCTGCCTGCACCCATGGGCAAAGGGCTTTAGAAGAAGAACAAGGCTGATCTAAATGACTGAGGCACTGGAGCCTCTCACCCCTGAAGCGCTGATGGCCTGAGAGAAGGCGGAGATGGGCCCAGAGCTCTTGACTGGAACCCCATCAGGCTGTTCTGAGTGGTAGTGACACGCCTGGCCCCCAGTCCCAGCAGCCTTTGCAGAGACGGAGGGAAGCTTTGCAGGCTTTTGCCTCCACTTCACACCCATTAGGGTGACTATTATAAAAAAAGAACAGAACAGAACAAGTACTGCAAAGAGGTGGATAAGTTGGAACCCTTGTGCACTGCTGGCAGGAATATAAAATTGTGCCGCCGCTGTGGCAAACAGTATGACAGTTCCTCCAAAAATTAAACATAAAGTTACCACTTTAGGGTATTTATCCAACACAATATTATTCAGTCGTAAGAAAGGAATGAAGTATCGACCACTGGGACAACATGAATGAACCTTGTGGACGTCATGCAAAGTGAAATAAACCTGACACCAAAGGACAAATATTATATGATTCCACTTATATGAAAATATATAGTAGTCCAATTCATAGAGACAGAAAGGAGAATGGTGGTTGCCAGGGGCTGGGGGATCGGGGAGAATGGGGAGTTGGGGACAGGGCTTCTTTCCATTTGGGGAGATGAAAAGGTTGTGGAAATGGATGGTGGTGATGGCTACACAACCATGTGAATGTACTTCATGCCACTGCACTGTCCCCTTAAAAATGTTCAAGTGTATGTTATGTATATTTTTCCAGAATTTAAGTAAAATGCTTCCAGCACCCTCTGATGCCCTGAGGACAGCCAGCGCGTATCGTGGTTTCTGATTCTCCCCTGGCACCCAGAAATTGACAGCCAGGTTGCAATCTGAACTTGGACTTTTAATACCTGTCTTGGGTTGGTTCCCTGAAACAGAAGTGAGACAGGGGTTCATGCAAGGGAAGGGGTAAGGAACGCCTCTCGGGAGGAACCAGGAAGGAGGAAGAGGAGGAAAGGGGAGAAGATGCTGAACAGAGCTGTGGGTTCAGCTGGAGTCTCCCCTCCGCTTCATCCTGTGAGGAAGTCTGGAGCATGAGGGCACCACTGACTTGCCCACCTGAGGCAAGGGGGTGGGCTTTCTGCCTCCACACTAGTCAGTCATTGGCTGCTGGCCACTGCAGGGCGTGGGGACCTGCCTTGCTCATTCAGCTTCCTACCAAGAATGTAACTTTAAAAACCTGTGGATGGCCTGCCATTTTTAAGCATCAGTTCACTTTTTAGCCCTCCTGACACCGCTGGTACTGTTCTTTGCAACTGTTTTGGGGGGTTTTGTTTCTTTGTTTCTGCATGAGTTTTGCCACAAGAACACCTGAGTTCCCTGGCGCACTGGCTTCCAACCAACGAATCAGAATCTTGGAGGTAGAGGCAGGGGTGGCGAGGAGCTGGGGTCTGTATGGCCCTTAAGCCTGAGAACTTAAGTCTTTTGAGACCTGAACAGCCCACTCCTCATAACCTTAATTCTCAGAGGCCAGACTCACCATCTCCCACGGTCCGGACCTGCTCCTTTAACCAAATGGTTCCTCCTTCTTGGTTTGAATGAACTCAAGAGCAGCAGTCCTTCTGTCACTGCTCAGTCCTGCAGGAGGTGAAACTGTCAGCAAGGCAAGCAGAGAGTTTGTTCAGATGCTCTGCTTTTCAGAACAGCTGTCCAGCTGGTGTTGCGCCCCCCCCACCCCCACCCCATCAGTAGGTGTCTCCACTCCAGGCCAGTTGTGTGGTCTCGGTCAGGAACCCATCATCAGTTTCCCCCACCTGGTCTGCCAGCCTTGTAATATGCTCCTGTAACAATAGGGCTTCTGTTGCCCTTGCCTTTGATCTCCACCCACACGCTTTCTGACACAGCCCCACCCTCGGGACTGTGGATTTCTATGTGGGTGTAAATCTTTTTTATCACGAGCTGGGGTTTCAGCTCCAGCTCCATCTGCCTCACCCAGGATGACCCTCCTGCTCAAGTGACTTTGGTCATAGCTAATGGTACTAATATTTTAGACAAGGATTCACATGCAAGTAGTTTCTTTAGGAGATGATTCTGAGATGCCCCAGAAGTGGAATAGAGAAATGAGACAGAGAAGCAGCAAATACAGGGAGCCTTGTCAACCACCCAGGGGTAACTGGCGCTCGTTCCACTGTAGAGTAGTCTAGAAGAAAAGCCTTACAGTTATCCTACCAAAGGAATCAGGGTGTGTGTTTGTACACTAACTCTCCTCAGTCACTGGGCATTCATACCCAGCACTTCTAGCCAGTCTCATCTGTCAAGGCACAGTGGCACCCAGGCCAGAGAAGTCCCCAGACAAAAAGATATAGGAGCTGGCATTTGGAAATGCGCTGAGATGGTAAAAGGTATGTCAGCATCTGCACCAGCCAGGCATGCGTCTCCTGAAGGAAGGAAACGCACTGCTCTGCCAGAGTTCCCAAAGCTGGAACCAAGAGATGCAGAAAACACAGGCCTATAATTGCTTGGCTTGGAAAGCTTCGCAGAACTGGGATGAAGCAGCCATTTTCAGCTACATCCATGCTGATGAGTAAACAGAAAAGTCCATCTGCAAAAGCAGGGGAGAGGTAGGTGAGGGAAAGATGAAATAAGAGAAGGTGTGGCCCCAAGAAGGAGATAAGAGGTCCTCAGCCTTGGACCCTATAAGCTTGTTTGCAAGGCCCATCCCCAAACCACTGTTTCTTGTGCCGTAAGATGACCCTGTATATTTGCATAAAGGCCTCTTTGTCATTTTAATAAAGGTCTCTTTAATTGAGCCGATGTACTAGTAAGTCGGCTCCTGTTCTGCCCAAACAAAAAGCTTTGACTGAGACCGCCTCTGAGGGCTTCTGTCAACATCTCAAATTTGTTTTGTTTGTGCTAATGCTCTGTACACAGGTATATGGATTTCTAAGGCAATAGCACTGTTCCTAATGCCCTTTCCAACCACTTGCTTGAATTAATTACATGAGGCATGTCTCCCTCGCCTTCTCTCTCCATTTCCCTTTGGCCCAGATCAGCACTCACTGCAACGTAATTCTTCTCTGTCCTCAACACCTCCAGCCCAAGACACTCACCACATTCTGCGTCCTGTGTGAGAAATTCACTAGGAACTTGGTCTTGGAATGTTTCCATGGCCTGCGCTAAGTGTTTCACAAGCAGGCTGATGACATGATCTTTAGATACCATATGATCACGTGATTAGCCAGACCTCAAGAGAACCGGAGACGGCTCTCAGAGCCGAGTCACCGAATTTCCTTGGGGTTCTTTACTGCATTGGTTTGATGGATTCTGGGACTCAAAAGCAAAGACACAGCTCTGCAGCCCCCGGTCTGGTTTCTCAAACCCTGGTAGCCACGTGTCTGTGAATAGCAGCTAAATGCTAACTGGACAGGGCCCCAGTCTTCTCATTCTGGCTAAAGATCTTTGCCTCCCACTTCAGACACCCAGTTCTGGTCTTGATTCAATCTCTGTCAGTGGGTCAGAGCGAGGATCCCTCGATGAAGGTCAGATTTTTGTGGTGTTTGATTTTTCCAATTTGCAAATATAGCACTATGGTAATAGAAGTTCTTTTATTTGGCCAGAAATCCTGCCTTAGCCATGTGTAATTGATCATTACCTTAGGAGTTTCAAATATTTCTTGGAAGTTGGTGGGAAATGAATACAAAACTAAATAAATAAGCATTTCTTTCTTTAAAACCAGTATATTTTATGTGCAGCAAATGCTTACCCGATTAAAAAGTCAATTCACTGGCGCCTACGCTACCAAAAATCCTGAAATAATGGGTTGCATTTTGGACACTAAGGTTTTAAGAAAAAAGTGCCAATGAAACAAATAGCACAGTTCTTTTAACTAGGCTGGTATTATTGAACCATTTGGTGATGCAATTTATTTTTAATTATTAATTATAAAATTAACAGGTGATCATAGTAAAAATTTCAGACTTGATATAAACAACAAATAAAAGGTTTTCCTACCCCTTTCCCACCTTTAATCCCAGGCCCAGACATATCCTCGACTATCAGTTTTTTATATATACAAGTATATATACAGCATAAAGTTAGTTAATCTAATGGAATCATACTTAGCATACTATTCTAGCATTGGCATTTCAAACATAATTATGTAGATTCACTTTAAAAAAAAAAAAAAAGAAATGTTATATCCTGGACTCGGTATAAATTCAGCCTCTGTCTTTTCAATCCATAGTTCTGCATGGAAAGAGTTGTTGTTCCATCTATAGCCCCAAGAATTACAAAATGCCAATTCACCAAAACATTCCATTATGTTTAGCATCCTATAGCGGTTAGCTTTTTCTGAATAACAAACTACCCCATAACTCAGTAGCTTAACACAGTAACCATGTGGGTAGCACAAGAATCAGTAGACTGGGGATTTGAGCCAGGCTGGGCTGATCAGTTCTGCAGGCCGCAGGCAGGTTCACTCAGGAGCCTGTGGTCAGCTGCTAGGTCAGCTGAGGTCACAGCAGAGGCTAGGCCACAGTCTCCCATCATACAGCGGGCTAGCCCCGGGCTCATTCAAATGGTGCTGGTGCACTTTGTAAGCCTCTGCTGTGTCACATTTGCTAAGATCCCACTGGCCAAAGCAAATCACATGTCCAAGGTCAAAATCAAGGGGTGGAGAATGTGTCTCTACTTCTTGATGGGAAAGGAAAAATTTGTGGCCATTTCTGCAACCTACCACATATGTTGGGAGAGGGGGGAGGAGAGGCATGACCTCATTTAAACAGAAATTCAAATTAACCAAAACCCACCCTCATCCGAAATGTTTTGAATTCTTCAAGGGTTACACAAGAAGCAGGAATAAGAATGCAGTCTGTTACACAGAGCTGGGCCAGTGTGGCACCAGAGGGCTGGCTTTGAGCTGTGCTCTAGTTTATGCTAGCAATTATGGGTGCTATGCACATTAGAAACAAGAAAGGCAGCAAAGCAATGGAATCTTCTAGCATACTCTTTCTAATGTCCACAGAGAACAGGGTACAATAAACACAGAGAGACCACCTACGAACAGTATCCACAATCCACTTTCTTTTGAGGTTCGGTCATTTGGTTGAGAATTAGAAAAGGAACCCATTGTGATGGTATATAATACCTTGAAATAATAACAGAATTTACTTTCCTACAATTTTTCTCATCCCTCCAGTCTTTGGTGCATGTCAGTGGCATTCACAGTGCGGGGGGGCAGAAGCGGGGGTGAGAATACAGCCACAAATAAAGAAGCCATTTGAGTTTCAGCACAGATTTTCAGAAAACTGAGCAGAGGCCAAAGTTGGAAAGGCGGGGCTTCGCCAACAAGCACAGAGCTCCTGAGAGCAAAGGAAAATGAGAAGCGAAGGGGCCCAAAACAGGCATTGAAGCTGCAAAAAACAGAGCAGGAAAGAAGGTATGTTCCAGCCTCAACGTAGCTCAAGGTTAGACCAGCTGGCCAGAGGGAGAATACGAGGGGAAGAGATTCGAGCTTAGATGCTGGTAAGTCTGCCAACAGAAGTGCCCCTTAGCTCATCCCCCACTAAGCCTGCCTGGTCCCTGGGACAAGGACAAGAGGGATGCCAGGGAAAGGACAGGTGAGTTGGGGTGAGTCCCTGAGTAGAGGAGCCTTTCACAAAAGCCCAAGGTCAAGCCAAGCCAGTGTCCAAGGGACTGAGTGTGTTGGGAGTGTATCTCAGAGCTCGCGGTGAGAAGGATCACAGCGCAGATTGGCCCAGGGCGGCTGAGAGGGGGCCAGGAAGGTGCAGAGAGGCTCCAAGCCAGACAAGGGAGCTTTTGGGTAACTGCATGCACCCTGCATTTTTCATGCATAGACAGCCAGGTGGGTGCTAATGACCAAATACGCATGAAGGCCTCACCCTGGTAGCACAGGGCCAGGGCAGGACAGAGACCAACCTCATAACGGAGGCCTCACTTCCTGCCAGAACAACAGTCAGCCCCCCAGCGCTTAGAAGCATTGGAAGTTGGGAGCAGACCCCTGAAATGACTGAGCTTTTTAAAAATCTCTACGTGATTGCATTTATGTAAAGGCGTAGGTCAAGTTTCTGCAATTTGGTAGAATGGCGCTCCAGGCCAATTTCAATTAAACTCCATAGAAATAAAAACATTATACACCTAACGTGATGAGTATGAAATTTGTACTAAAATCCCCTCATTTCCTAACCTCCCCCCCACCACCAATCCACTGTTAAAATTGCAAGAGGGGCTATTTGTTGCTTAGTGCTGGTAAACAAGTATTTTCTAATGGTAATCTATATATATAAAAGGCTAATATGCTAAGTGTCCCTCCGCCTGTCCGACCGGTCACTATGATGTGCACTGACCACCAGGGGGCAGACGCTCAACACAGGAGCTGCTGAGCTACAGTGACTTGGCAGCAGCGGTTCTCAGGTGACACACCCCGAAACCATGGGTTATGTTGTTGCTGGGGCACTGTCGGCCCCGAACCTGGTTTACTGCACACTTGCGTTTGCGTTCCCCACCCTGTACAACAGCAACTTTGCAGAGTGCCCTCTCGCACTCCGGGACCCCTCAGGGGATGTCCGAGAGCCGGTTTCGGCCCGATACCCGCAGGCCAGGACGAGGGACCCCACCTGCCGGAGGGACC